TCATGTCTATATGTTCATTAAAATATGGAAGTATGAATTCAATTGTTTTTTAATTCTGAGAAAACGCTATTACTACAAGCTGGTACCCCGGGGACTTTACTCTGTATAATAAATAAACTCGGAAAATTATATCTTATAAATATGAATGTCATACATGATGATTAACTCTTCTTACCTGCCCCATGGACCATAAAGTTTGAAATGGTTATTTAACGTTAATTTTACTTTCATTTCTAGGAATATTTGTATATTAATTCACAGCCCTATATTTAAATAATAGTACTTTAAATAACATACACATTTCTATATACTGACTTACGGCATTCAGTAAACATACTAACTTAGTCCACTCAAGAAATATACTGACCTTCTTAGCACCATTGGCATCATATCGATAATACCATTCTTTATAACCACCAAACAAATGAGTCTCTGGATCAAAACAGTGAAATCTACTGCGGCCTAGAATGTCTGTACTGTTTGCTGTGCGCACCCCTAAATTCTGCATGCAGTGGGCCCAGTTCAACATCTTCTGCCCCTCCATCTTGACGACACACCTTGGTATTACTGGCTTGCTCTCCCAGCCTTTTTAAAGCTTCCTTGTTCAACACATAGCCAGCACCACCACTGGGGAAGAAATTGTTTTTATGTATTAATGTATAATATGGGGAAGAAATTGTTTTAATATACTAATGTATAACATGTGAAAGAAATGGTTTTAATATACTAATGTATAACATGTGGAAGAAATTGTTTTAACCCATATTATCCCAAGGTCTCAAATTTTTATAATTTTATGATATGGTTTAGCTTTTGGTGCATTGAATGAAGGAATGACTATAGATTTTTTTTTAAATCAATACTTTTTTTAAATATTGATTTTTAAAAAAACGTCCAGTAAATGGGACGCTAGCAACGAACGGCCCCATGTACATTTATTGAAAAATAAAATCATTTATCACGAAATATGGCTAATCACGCGAAAATTAAGCTGTATACTGATTTTGTATTGTTAGACCAATGATTACATTGTTTAAAACAGCTAAAAATACTGATACTGTTCAATTTGGTTAGCCATATTATGGTCTGAAATGCAGAAATTATGTTCAAAAGTCTAGTTTTCTTTCAATCTACTATTCATCACAGTGAATAACACTTGGAAATAAGTAAAGCTGTGACTAGTACATCTAATTATACCAGAGGCGTAACGACCCTTCCCGGCGCCCGGGGACATACTTTCAATTTGGCGCCCCCTCGGGAGCAAATTTTTCGATTTGCATCCCCCCCCTCGAACTTTTCATTTGCACCCCCCCCCCCCCCCTTAAACTTTCGATTTGCACCCCCCCCCCCCCCCTCGAACTTTTCATTTGCACCCACCCCCCTCAAACTTTCGATTTGCACCCCCTCCTCGAACTTTTCATTTGCACCCCCCTCAAACTTTCAATTTGGCGCCCCCCCCCCCTAAGGTCGGCGCCCGGGGACATATGTCCCCCTCCCGCCCCCCCCCCCCCTCGCTACGCTACTGAATTATGCACAAATGATCACAAATGTTGTTATTATTCATCGTAACTGTAATATAATTAGATATAAATATTTGATTTTTGGAGGGGGGGGGGGGGCCTTTTTGAAATTTTCAGGGGGGGGGGACTTAAATTTCAGTGGGGAGGGTGGACACTGGTAAAAGTATGTTTTGTATATAAATTCCATTTTGTTCTGGGGGCAGAGCCCTCCCCCCCCCCTCTCCTCCGAAATAATGCCTGAAAGAAACTCTGCCCTCAATGAATTCTTCTCTTTTGTTACCCTCGGTATTTCCCCCCCCCCCCTCTCACAGGCGAACATTAGGACATCAGACATCTTATTTCTAAAGCACGGATCCGTCTTTGGGGGCCTGTATTGAGTGTTTATGGCTCTTATGTATGTATGCACCTCACTATTCGAACAGCTCCCAATCTAGCACCAGGAATCCCATTACAAAGCCTCGTTAAGGTTAATAAAGTAAAACTGGTATCGGGAACCTTTGGAGGGAATATTATCGGGGCTTGACACTAGTACACAGCTAATTCACTGTTCTGCTATATGTAGCTTGAGCTATCTTATATGAAGAGAGTTAACCAACCCCCATGACTGATTTCACCTAAATCGTTACCATTGTTAGATTTTGGTTTGTTATAATTTTAATATCACGCGCTAGTAAATTTACAGCAGTATTAAATTAGTTTGTATTCAATGGTATTAAATACTTCAGTAAGTGTAATTCTGAAAGCTAGGCTGGTGAAATTTCATATATAAGTATTTTATCAAAATCGTAGATCCGTATCAACTTTTGAGCGAATTCCGATAACCGGAAGTGGTATTTTTTCTATTTTGAATTTTTCAAAAGCCTTTAACTTGAGTACTATTTCAGATAGATAAATGAAATTTGATATGTAAGTAAAAGAGCTAATTCTCTACCTTCTGTCAAATTTTGAGTTATTTCCGTTGACCGGAAGTACTTATTTACGCTATTTCCAATTTCTCAAAAAACGCATGTAAATTTATAAAGTACTAATAATATTGCGCACTATTATGCGCTTTTTTATTTAGCGTTCACTTGGTGTGCATTTTTTTTTCTACGAGATTATATTCGATTTTAAGAAATGTGAGTATTTAAAATGGATTAAAAATCATGTCTAGAAGTCTATATCCCGAGTTGCCATCCCCTGTAGTGTTATATTAGAATATTCGAGAAAGTTTAGGGGAGATCACTCCCGGTTTATTTATATTTATCTTCATGGACCAAGGTTACCCATTGTTTAATTACCTTCATGAACCAATCAGCGTCGTTGAAATGATGCTCGTAGACATATCGGAAACCTTTCATTGTTTTGGCTGTCAGATGTTCCCGACCCTCGGACACGTTCAACCCCACAGTGGGGAAGGAAGCATTGTCTTCAGAACTGTAACATTGAACATACATTTTGATTTTAGTCGATCAATATTGCCCTCAGAATGTAACAGTGAACATACATTTTGATTTTAGTCGATCAATATTGCCATCAGAATGTAACATTGAACATACATGTTGATTTTAGTCGATCAATATTGCCATCAGAATGTAACATTGAACATACATGTTTATTTTAGTCGATCAATATTGCCATCAGAATGTAACATTGAACATACATGTTGATTTTAGTCGATCTATATTGCCCTCAGAATGTAACAGTGAACATACATGTTGATTTTAGTCGATCAATATTGCCCTCAGAATGTAAAATTGAACATGCATGTTTATTTTAGTCGATCAATATTGCCTTAAGAATGTAACATATTACATACACAATAGTCCCTTAGAATATAACATTCAACATACATGTTTACATCTGATTTAGATCAACAGAAAGTTGACATTCAAATTATATGTCTCATGTTGACATATGCACTAACACATCGATATCTTACATATAATATAGGCTTTAGAAGTGAAACATTGATCACACATGTACGCCTTTGATTCTTTTGATAGATCGATACAATACTTATAAAAACCGCTTATCAATCGACGCTATTTTAACGAATAACAATAACTTCTAGCCTCAACACACCCACTTTTAAATGTCAAGTCTGGTGTCTACTATCGTATCTACAAGTGAGAGGAGCTCAGTAAGGATAGCCGTACCATGTGAACACATACATACCTACTAGGACTGGGGTCTCCAAACTTTTCAGTCCGAGGGTCGCATTAACTATCAAATTTCAGTTCGGGGGCCAGGTTCTTCCGGGCATGTCTTTGATTTTTCTGGGCAAAAATCCTCAGCCATCACCAACAAACGTTTTTTTCCGTGGACAAAAAGATCTCCGCGGGCCGGATGAGAGGACATCGCGGGCCGTAGTTTGGAGACCACTGTTAGGACAAAACATCGTGAATGTGTCTGCACGCGGGCATCTCTTCAGGGGGTCCGCCCCAACCCCCCACCCCCCGAAAAAAGTCTACCGCCCCCCCCCCCTGAACGAGATGGAATTTATATAGTAAAAATATACCTTTACTAGTGTCCGCCCCCCCCCCCCCCTGAAATTGTTGACCCCCCCCCCCCCCCGAAAATATCAAGTGCCCCCCCCCTCCCGGAGAAAAAAGTCTGGAAGAAACACTACACTTGGCAAGTGGGGTGTTAAGTTTAAAGCAACTGTATAATGTATTTGTTTATGAATAATTGAATTAAAAAATGTTATACAAAAACTTCACACATAATTACTTTATATATTCAGTTTGAATCGTGTAATTTATTTTTTTGAAATTACAATACAGACATAAATACAACTGATGTGGCACCTCTATTTAAACTTACTTATGGGCGAACTGCCTAGCGGTGGGGAAACTTTGACAAGGTCAACAACGTCATCACGATGAAGTAGTAGTATTATGACAGTTTGGGCAATAGTGATTACGATTACAAATTAAATGAAACAGTATCAACTTTACATTAATTATTATTTGAGTTTACTAGATCTAGATCTACAATAAATTTGAATAATGTTATATTTTGTATTAATAAACCACAACTCAACTTAAGCTGACACTGATCGCACAATTAATTATCCGCTCAACTCAGTGGCGTAAACGGACTAGGGGGTTACAAACCCCCTCCCCCCCCCCCACCCATTGACACCTCTGTAAAAAAAATATCTATTTCTGAATCACTATACATGTGTAATTGAATATGTATGTTTAAAACAGTCATCTTAAAACTCTGTGTTGGATAATTGACCTAAAGTTGATAGACACATTGTCATTGGAGAAAGACATAAATACCACGTTTAAAACAAATCAGTCAAGTAAAACTGAATACAAATATATTGCAAGATCCCATTTAGACCGTCCTAAAGAATCAGATCTAACAGCAATTTAAGTTCAATAAAAGCTTTTAAAAATACAATTATAAAAAAAGTTTTAATGATACAATTTTAAAATTTGCTTTCTTTAATTAAAAGAATATATCAGTCAGATAGTGTGTGAAATTAAATACAATCAAAAGTTACTTTAAAATTTGAAAAAACATTTTAAACCATGAATAAATTGAGATGATAACATTTTATTGTAGCAGGCTCAACATTACAAAATAAATGTTTGATTAAATAGAATTTTAAAATTTTTAACAGAGTGACAACAGCCACATCATGCCGCAATTCTAAGAAACTTTCTTTTGGAAAAAAATGAATGCAACTAAAAATTAAATGAGGAATTTAAAACCATTCAACTTATATAACAACATATATTTCATCAATATTTCTTGCTTAAAAAACAACATTTTAAATGCAATGTTCAAATACAAAACAGATCCTTAATTTAATTTATTTTATTTTTTAAATAATAGACAACAATATCTCATTCTTTATTTCGAAAAATATTACTGGCTGGTGTATTTTTTTTTTCTAAGTCTAAATATTATTTGATGTATAAATATATTGGTGTTGTTTATTTATTACATCAAATTCACACCAGAAATATGGACTGTTACTTACACAACAAACTGGAAACTACAGAAAATAAACCACCCAGAACTGATTCAACAGAAAGAATATTATTGGAGAAAGAAATACTATTTTACAGGAATTTTTAATCCCAGTTTATATTACAGGAAGTTGTATTAAAATTAAGCATTTTTCTTTACCAAAAGAAAATACTTTTATTCCCTCCTTAAGTATGCAAAAATACTTTTATGGAAGATAAAATACTTTCATTCCTACAGTCAGCAAATCACTTCCAATCACTTTTATACAGAAAGAAAATGTTTTCATTTACACTTACATCACATAAAAACACATTTTCTTATCACAACAAGAAGACTAATTAAAACTTACTTTCGTAACTAAAAAAATGCAATCACTGCAATGCATCAAAATTATATCATCAACTATTTATACAAAGTGATCTGTTCAAAATGAGAAATGGAAATGTCAAATCCACATGGTATGATGTTTTAACAGTGAAGACATAGAATTTTAAATATCATTCAACCTTTTGAAAAAACTAGCACACAATAATCAAATTACTTAGATATTAATGGAACTTTCAACAACCAACAAAAACATATTTAGATCTTCAGAAAAGTGCCTATAGCAAAACGTATTTTCTGTATTCAAACTTCAGATTTCTTTAAGGTCAAATGCTTGTTTTAAATATTACAATTAGTTAACTTTATTTTGACTAGTTATTTTCTCTTTGGAACGATCTGCCCTAATTTCTTGGACTTGCAGGTTATCACACTGTTGGATATATATAGGATTTTTAAACAAATAGAATAAAATTCTATTTTGGCAGGAGCTAACTTATAAATCTCAACATTTTTATAAAATTGGGTTAAACAAGATAACCATTAAGACATTATTATCTACGCAAATGTTTCTGTTGGTTTAAATCCTGTTCTCCCGAGTTGATCCCATACGGCCTCAGGTGATAGATGTAAAATTCTAATGACAACATTTTTTCTGGTGGAACATAATGAAAGCTGATGGCGTAATCACTGATGCTTTCTCTTCCCTGGGGATGTGAGAAAACAGAGTAGAATTATTCTATTACAGCATTTGTGAAAATATAATGTCTGTATGCTCATGTTTTGTCATAAAAATTTAGAAGTATGAATTCAAATTTGTAAAATTCTGAGAAAACACTAGTACTACAAGATGGTACTTAGAAAATTATGTCATATAAATATGAATGTTCTACATGATAAACTCTAATTATCCTATCCCATGAACCATCAAGTTTGAAATGGGTATTTAACTTTAATTTTACTTTCATTTGAGGAATATTCGTATACTAATTAATAGCCTATATTTAAATAATAGTATTTTAATAACATAAAATTTCTATTTACGGACTTACAGCATTTAGTAAACATACTAACTTAGTCCACTCAAGAAATATACTGACCTTCTTAGCACCATTGGCATCATATCGATAATACCATTCTTTATAACCACCAAACAAATGAGTCTCTGGATCAAAACAGTGAAATCTACTGCGGCCTAGTATGTCTGTACTGTTTGCTGTGCGCACCCCTAAATTCTGCATGCAGTGGCCCAGTTCAACATCTTCTGCCCCTCCATCTTGACGACACACCTTGGTATTATTGCCTTGCTCTCCCAGCCTTTTTAAAGCTTCCTTGCTCAACACATAGCCAGCACCACCACTGGGGAAGAAATTGTTTTTATGTACTAATGTATAATATGGGGAAGAGATTGTTTTAATATACTATTGTATAAAATGGGGAAGAAAATGTTTTAATTTACTAATGTATAACATGTGAAAGAAATGGTTTTAATATACTAATCTATAACATGTGGAAGAAATTGTTTTAACCCATATTATCCCAAGGTCTCAAATTTTTATAATTTTTTTATATGGTTTAGCTTTTGGTGTACTGAATGAAGGAATGACTATAGATTTTTGTTTTAAAATCAATACTTTTTTAAATATCGATTTTTAAAAAAACGTCCAATAAATGGGACGCTAGCAACAAACGGCCCCATGTACATTTATTGAAAAATAAAATCATTTATCACGAAATATGGCTAATCACGCGAAAATTAAGCTGTATACTGATTTTGTATTGTTAGACCAATGATTACATTGTTTAAAAATACTGATACTGTTCAATTTGGTTAGCCATATTATGGTCTGAAATGCAGAAATTATGTTCAAAAGTCTAGTTTTCTTTCAATCTAGTATCCATCAAAGTGAATAACACTTGGAAATAAGTAAAGCTGTGACTAGTACATCTAATTATACACAAATGATCACAAATGTTGTTATTATTCATCGTAACTGTAATATAATTAAATATAAATAATTGATTTTTGGAGGGGGGGGGGCGTTTTTGAAATTTTCAGGGGGGGGGGGGGGACTTAAATTTCAGGGGGAGGGTGGACACTGGTAAAAGTATGTTTTGTATATAAATTCCATTTTGTTCTGGGGGCAGGGCCCTCCCCCCCCCCCCCTCTCCTCCGAAATAATGCCTGAAAGAAACTCTGCCCTCAATGAATTTGCAAAAGACGATCCGGTCCAGTCCCAGATGTCATCCAGCCATCTTCTCTTTTGCTACCCTCGGTATTTCCCCCCCCCTCACAGACATCTTATTTCTAAAGCACGGATCCGTCTGTGGGGGCCTGTATTGAGTGTTTATGGCTCTTATGTATGTATGCACCTCACTATTCGAACAGCTCCCAATCTAGCACCAGGAATCCCATTACAAAGCCTCTTTAAGGTTAACAAAGTAAAACTGGTATCGGGAACCTTTGGAGGGAATATTATCGGAGCATGACACTAGTACACAGCTAATTCACTGTTCTGCTATATGTAGCTTGAGCTCTCTTATATGAAGAAAGTTAACCAACCCCATGACTGATTTCACCTAAATCGTGACCATTGTTATTATTCTGGTTTGTTATAATTTTAATATCACGCGCTAGTAAATTTACAGCAGTATTAAATTAGTTTGTATTCAATGGTATTAAATACTTCAGTAAGTGTAATTCTGAAAACTTAAAAATAAAATGTACGTTTTTCAATATTTTAATTTTTTTTATACAATAATATATAAGTATATATAGGTCAAAGTCATAATTAAATATCTATAAATACTACTAAACACCCCAAAGTCAACAGTTAACAAAGTCAACAATTGTTTCACCATAAATAACCATTTAACATAATCATTTGCATTTGTGTTTCTTGCTAGTGTCCAATAAATGTGACGTTTGTGTAACAATCTACATAAATATAGGTCAAGGTCATAATTAAATATCTATAAATACTTCTTAACACCACAAAGTCAGCAGTTAACAAAGTCAACAATTGTTTCATCATAAATAACCATTTAACATAAACATGTGCATCTGTGTTTCTTGCTAGTGTCCAATAAATGCAACGTTTGTATAACAATCTACATGGGGCCATTCGTTGCTAGCGTCCCACTTATGGGACGCTTGTTGTACACTTGATATAACGAAGTAGTAAAAAAAATTGTTATTATTAAATTTTTATCAGATAGAAATATGGTACTGCTACAAAAAAAGTTTCAAATGTATTTTGCACTTAAAATGTTAATATTTTAGAAGATGTGCATTTTCCTGTGCGCATGTTTTCTTTTTTCCGCCATTTTGACAAGTCCTGCAAATCCTGCGCTATAACATTTTTCTAAATTAATTTTTTTCACAAAACACAAACAAATTCAATAGTCTAACCCAGAGGCGTATCCAGGTTTTGGTTGTAGGGGGAGCGGAAATAGCAAACAAAGGCGCCGAATTTGTAATATTTTCTATATAAGTATATATATATATATATATATATATATATATATATATATATATATATATATATATATATATATATATATATATATATATATATATATATATATATATATTAGCTGTATGTTATTGCTTCGATATGATGTAAAATAAATTTAAAGTAGCACTCTGAAGAAATAAAAAAAAACACAATGTAGGCCAACGAAACAAAAAAAAAATGGTATCACTCTAAACAATATATATATATATATATATATATATATATATATATATATATATATATATATATATATATAAACACACTACAACCAAAAACAATCTGTTTCGTAATTCTTGTAAAAAATTACATAATAATTCCTGGGACATCTATTAAGATAAGCGAAAAGGGGAAATAATCAATATCTTAATATAAATATGTTTATGTCTACACATTTTATTATAAATATCAAAACAAATCAATAATTACTTTAGAATCTAATAAAGTAGCTTAACACTATTCGATTTTACAAAAATAATTTGTCTACAATCAGAATTAAATATATTGTCATTTAAAATGCTAAAGTATTACAGCATAATGAATGTTTTTAAAATCAGAGTTGGTATAAAAGCCAGCTTTTCAAGATCGAGGTAAAACATTCGTAATAATAGCCTACATATAACTAAAATATCGGTCTTACATTGCAGATCATGCACTTTTTAATTAGCTACTGTTTTTTTGTGTTCTTTAAAGATAATTTTTTAACATAATGAGAAGGTATGGGTTATATCACTGTATTGCTTACACAGCTTTTACTGGTAATTGCAAAAACAATATTCACAGAGATTTACGTTTCAAATGTGCCGACCAAAGATAATTTTTTAACAAATATCAATGTTTAAAACTTTGAGTTTAAAAAGTTTCCAAAAAGGCGCCACTTGGCTAAAAATGGCCAGAGGGGGAGCGGCCGCTCCCCCTGCTCCCCCCCTGCGTACGCTACTGGTCTAACCATTTTCAAATACAATGAAACATAATTTGTGTTTTAACTAGTTTTTTATAAATTTTAGCATTTTTTTTACAAGCGTCCCATAAGTAGGACGCTAGCAGAATATGGGTTAATATACTAATGTATAACGTAGGGAAGAAAATTGTTTTAATATACTAATGTATAACATGGGGAAGAAATTGTTTTAATATACTAATGTATAACTTATGTATAACACATAGCCACCACCACCACTTGGGAAGAAATTGTTATAATATACTAAAACAACTAACACTAATTATAAATATATATTGTTTAATTTAAAACATTTATAAACTCAACCCTAAATTAAAGTTTTCAAAAACCAGTTTCTAAATACACAAACCGGTTTTTAAAAATACAAATGCAGAACCACGCCATGAAATGTCACTTTTAATTTATTTTCAACAATACTTTTATGTGTAAAGCAAATATCATTACATGTAACTCATACTTGAACTCCCTTGATAAAGGGTTATTTCCCTTACCTGTAGTATCCCTGTTTGACGAGTGCTTTAAAATGGTGGCCAAAATAAACGGGTTCACTGGTATTTTGGCCAGATAAGAAGTACCGGAGGTTTTCCACGATCAGGTAGGTGTCATCATCAGCCTGCAACAAAATGTACTGATTTACTTACTTAAAAAATATATTTTTAAAAAAATTATCTACCACACTATACATAATCTGCTTCCAGAAGCTTTTAATCTATACTAATAAACTTAATCAAAAAAAATAATCTGTTTCATGAAGCTATAATCTATATTGCTAAACTTGATCTTAATCAAAGCATATTTCAATACGAGAAAAATAGACAGGATTAAAATAATCTGCTTCTTGAAGCTTTAATCTAAAGGCTTTACCATATCTTAACCACTTGTTACAACAAGAAGAAAGAAAAACCCCATTAAAATGTTATCAGAAAATTGTATCGCTTCCCTCCCCTGGTGTGGTGGTTATCGAACCTACACAGATGTTACTGGGGACGAGACACGATAGTTTCCCTTGTGTGTGCTAATCAATCGATGCCTTGTCTGACCAAAGTGGCAATGTTTGTGTGATAGATGAGAAAACATGGTGTGTATAAAATATTGATTTAGTTATAAAAAGAGCCTGACATAAATATTTAATATCATCTTCTTGTATTTTTGTCTAGGCGAGAAGACCACTCTTATTCTAAATCATCTTTTTAAATCTTTATTAAAACAAGTTAAATAAAAAGTCTAGTGACATTTAAGCGCAATTTCCTTATGTTATCTAAAAATAGCTCTGTCGTAGCGTAAATCAAGAGCAGGGTTAGTAAAACCATTGGTTAAAATACATGTTTTATTTACAATAGAGTTACATGACTTAAAACCATTGCGCGCCTAGCTACTGAACGTGATGACGCAGCCATTGAACGTGATGGCGCAGCTATTGAACGTGATTACGCGTGTGGTGTGGTTGGATAAAAATGCCTACTAATTAGGTCCAAATTTTAATTAATTTAAAAAAAAATTTGTGACCGAACGAAAGGATATTTTTGAAATCTTTCTTCGGCAATATTGTTCTAAATTATGGCAGGAATCGATTGGTACATGTTTCAAGTCGCTAAGTGGTATGGTTGCCGAAATATGGGCCAAAAACTGCATTTTTTCGAGTTTTTTTGGCTTTTCCGGGAAATCCATGAAAGAAACCCGGATTTTTTATGGCCTATGTTCATCCTCGTAACTTGCTTAACATAATTGCTTTTGGAACTAGTCATCGATATTGCTTCGTTGAGGAGGAGATACGACTTAAGGCTGCGGACACACATTCATACATCCATCCAGAAATGACGGGTTAATAAACGCAATTCTCCAGAATGGAAATTGCGCTAAAAAGCATTCGCCGAAGTATTAAATAGTTAAGTGGTCTGTGTAATATCTTCCTAGCAGGGTAAATGTGTAGAAAATATCGTTACTACTTAAACATTCTGTGTTCTATCATAAATATTTCCTATCCGTATTAATGGACAGCAATAAAAAAAATTCTGACGCTCTATACCTGACTTTAAATAAACCGGGATTGATCTCCCCTAAACTTTTTCGAATATTCTAATATAACACTACGGGGGATGGCAACTCGGGATATAGACTTCTAGACATGATTTTAATCCATTTTAAATACTCAAACTTTTTAAAATGTAATATAATCTCGTAGAAAAAAGAATTGCACACCAATAAAGATGTACATAATACTGCGCAATATTATTAGTACTTTATAAATTTACATGCGTTTTTTGAGAAATCGGAAATAGCTTAAATAAGTACTTCCGGTCAACGGAAATTACTCAAAATTTGACAGAAGGTACAGAATTAGGTTTTTTACTTACATATCAAATTTCATTTATCTATCTGAAATAGTACTCAAGTTATAAGCTTTTGAAAAATTCAAAGTAGAAAATGTACCACTTCTGGTTGTAGGAAATTGCTCAAAAGTTGATACGGATCTAAGATTTTGATAAAATACTTATATATGAAATTTCATCAACCTAGCTGTAACGGTACTCAAGTTATCGTGTTTACACACGGACACACACACAGACAGACAGACAGACAGACAGACACACAGACATACGGACAAGATTGCAAGATTATGTTTTTCCGTATCAGTGAGATGTAAAACGTCGAGATTTGTAAAAATCTCGATTTTTTTTTTTTGCACGATTACAAGACTTTCTCCATACTTCGTATATACGGGAAAGTAAAAAAGGATAGAGTGTAATAAAGAAACAAGGGGTCGCTTCAGGCGTCTGTTGATACTGGGGGAGGATTGAGGTGGGGATAGTGTATGGACTGTAAAGAACTCAAGAGGGGTTTAACAAATGTGGAGTTTCGAAATTATTGACTGTATTGTGCCCTAACTGATTTAGTTTTAAACAAAATGCCCTATCCCCCCCCCCCCCCCCAGTTCATTTTTCAGAATTTTCCTTCATTAAACATGAAGATACTTTATAATGTTTAAACTACTCGTGGTAATTACAGTTTTAATTACTTTCATGGACCAAGGTTACCCACTGTTTAATTACCTTCATGAACCAATCAGCGTCGTTGAAATTATGCTCGTAGACATATCGGAAACCTTTCATTGTTTTGGCTGTCAGATGTTCCCGACCCTCGGGCACGTTCAACCCCACAGTGGGGAAGGAAGCATTGTCTTCAGAACTGTAACATTAACCATACATATTGATTTGAGTAGATCAATATTGCCCTTGGAATGTAACATTGAACATACATGTTGATTTTGGTAGATCAATATTGCCTTAAGAATGTAACATCTTACATACACAATAGTCCTTAGAATATAACATTCAACATGCATGTTTACATCTGATTTAGATCAACATCATCCATACACTATTGTCAATAGAATCAACATTAAACATGCATTTTTACATCTGATCTTGTAGTATCAACACCATACATATACTATTGTCTCTCTAGAAAGTTGACATTCAAATTATATGTCTCATGTTGACATATGCACTAACACATCGATATCTTGCATATAATATAGGCTTTAGAAGTGAAGCATTGATCACACATGTACGCCTTTGATTCTTTTGATAGTTCGATACAATACTTATAAAAACCGCTAATGCTGTATGCAGTTTTTGTTTATTTTCTGTCATACACGTGGTGCAACAATATCAATGTATCACATTCAACATAGATATTAGGGGGAAAAATGTTTGTGAACGGCTGTTTATAAGATTAAAATATATCTAGCAGCTATCTGCAACAGATGCTTTTAAAAATTATGCCTTTTTAAAAATGATGTGTTTTTCTTTTGGTTTTTTTTTTTTTTTTGCATGCTAAACAACGCCTATACACAAAAGTCATTTTTTCTGTTCAGGAAAAAGATAACATATCTCAATGAGCAACTACACTACTGACACTTGAGAATATCCGCAAGGTAGACAACTTGCATTGAGCAATGTAATGCAGATAACTCTTCAGATTTTACATTAAATGAAGCATGCTAAAGGGTATGAACCGTAATCGTAATAACGCTTTACTGTAGACGATTTAAAGACAAGCAAACATTGACTTATACTGTAGGTCGGAGTGAAAACATCTACTGAACATCTACTGAAAATGACTCAGTAATCTGTTTTGTGATTTTTATTATGCGTTACAATTTTTAATGAATTGAACAGCCGTGAAGGGTTGTAAGTTACCTGAAAAAAATGATCTTGTTGCACCGTTTGGCCCACGTGTCCCTTACAATTCGAGCTTTGGACTTTAAATTATTCGGTGACGTCATCACCCAAACCAACACGCGGACCTGTTCGCTCAATTTCCTGGCTATAGCGTCATCATCTAAATATAGAATTGTTGGATTTCAATGATAGATTCAACAGTGTCATCAGAGTTTCTTCCAGGCATCTCTTCGCCCCCCTCCCCCCCGAACGAAATGAAATTTATATAATTTATATAGAAAATATATACTTTTAACAGTGTCCGCCACCCCCCCCCCCCCCATCCCGAAAAAAGTCTGGAAGAAACACTGAATGTCATCATCTAAATATAGAATTGTAGGATTTCAATTATTGATTTCACAGTGTCCTTACTTAAGAAAAGAATTGCGAGTTTTCATTGACAGACCAAGCCATGCCGTTATCTAAATATAAAAAATAGTACATTTTCAATGATAGAGTTGAGATATTCGAATAAATAATTTTTCAGTTTTCAATTATAGTTCTGTTAATAGCATCATTATCTAACAGTAGAATTATAGCTTGGTAAACTATAACTTATGACATAAATATCTAAAGAGATAATTGGAAATTTAAAATGATAGATTTATTTAACAACACATCCAAAGATAAAACATTCTGCTTTAAATATGGGGTGGTTCTATATTCTTGCGCAGTCTAAAAGTAAAATTCAGTGTTGGGGTAATATAAAAATAAAAATGGCGGGCGTATTGGTTTTTTAACAACTAGTCTTATAAAATTGTAATACCAGCTTTAAACATAGGAATAAAAAAGAATAAAGCTTAAAAGAAGTTTTAACACTGTTTATAAAAACACCATCTAAAATAAAAATGGCGGGTGTATTGATTTTGTATCAACTAGTCTTATAACATGATTAAACCAGCTGTAAGCATAGGAATAAAAAATAATTAAACTTAAATGAAGTTTTAACTCTCTGTTTATTATTAAACACTCGCACAGCTGTGTTTAACTGTGCGGCAGTGCGTGATTTCATAAGCTTGAGTTGGCGATAAGCTAATCTCATCCTTAAGCTTGTTTTTCCGATCCCAGTGGATTTTAATGGCCCGATTGAGTCTAAGATAATCATCCATAGGGGTACAGCAAAAATTTAAACTATTTATTGAAACAAAAATATAAACTATTGAAACAAAAATCAATAGAAATAATGTTTACTGTAAACATTTCCTGTTTAACATTTAATCGTATGTATGTTTGTATGCATACATATATGCATATATATATATATATATATATATATATATATATATATATATATATATATATATATATATATATATATATATATAATTGAATCGATTGCCTTTCTTGTAAATATGTGCTAAAATGTTGAACACGATATAGGCATACATGGGTTCAAGATTGCCCTGTTTTAAAAAACTCTGCTACATCTACATGGCTGTCCATATAGAACAGGCTGGATACAGAAAGTCAATCACTGCTACACTGAACCTGGATTTTACATGATCACTGAAGAAAATGTTGAGATGTTAAGGAAAATTAGCAATCGTCTGTGGATTGTGCGAGTTCATAGTTCATTAATGTAGTGACACTCAAAAAATTAAATAATAGCCCAATAGTTTACGTTCTTGAAAGTCAAAGCACTCGTCTAAAAAACATGACCGCTCAAAATATACATTGTTCATTGACACAAAATGACATATTTCGTTTGTTTTGGTTATTTTAGGGAATTTGTTTACAACTGTGGGGTGTCACATGTTAAGCTCTTAAGATTCAGAGCTTAAAACATTGGAACTAGAACTAGGCTAACTTTAGATTGGCATGTAAAGAAAATAATCCATTCGAAGAGGAGCTGTAAAAACACACGTTCCACGGTCTGTGTATGTGGGGGGGGAGGGTTGGCTAAGGGTTATTGACCTGAGAGAATATATTCATTTCAACAGAATAAAAGTATTAAAACGGAGTTCTTCGCTTCTTATAAAAAAATAATCCGATTGTTTAAGGTAATTGACTAAAGCTATCCAGACTGAGAGATTAGTCAACACAAAACCCATTCTGTTCACGTGATCTACTTTTTTTATTGTATCAGTTCTGAAAGGTCTTTTGAGGTTATTGCACTCACTCACAAATCCATCGCTCAGACACAAACTTGCACTCACTCACAAACTTGTACTCACACACAAACGTGTACTCACACACAAACTTGTACTCACTCACAAACTTGCACTCAACTTACCGTGATGCATGTGCTTATCCACCGTCAGATGAACGTCTGGCAAATTCGCCCTGGCTATCGCCTTATCAAACTCGTCGTGTGACATCGGCTTGTTGCCGTCGACACCACCATCCTTGGACACTTCCATCATCTTGGTGGAGCCGTAGTTCATCTGCACGTAGCTGAACACAAGAAACGCTAAGCACATGCCGACGGCTAATGCCATCACAAAATGCCTCGCAGAGGGCGTCATAACTGCTCAAAGACCTGTTTAAATTGTAACAAAAATACACATTAACACGTATGCTGGATCGAGTAAATAGGCCGCATACACACAGTACCTGTAACAAGAATAATATGATAGTGAATGTTACCTTTTCATGCAAGTGGTTTTTTGTCCAATTTTTAATGCTAAGACAGTGACGTCGATAGTTTTCAAATCTTGGCTCTTTTGTATGCGGAATAGTAAACACAAGGAGTAATAAATCAATCTTTGTCCTGTATAAAGTTAAAAGTTATAATGGTCTTTCTTTTTTTTTTCATGCCGGATTCGGTTATAAATAATAAACAAGGAATAAATCTATGGTAACTCTACATGTTAGAGATGTACGTTTATTATTAAAATTAAATGTCATTGTGTCGATAAAGGGAAGGGTTATTACATAAGGTGACAGCTTGTTGAATGGCGACTATGAAAGTCAATAAAAAACTATCACGCCTAATGCGACATTAATCATATTCCTAGCATGAAATCTGTGTATTCACCAAGTCCTGTATATCACAGTATCACACTTGTGGAGTCCTCCGACCACAAACTTTACCAAACCGTCCATCATACGGTTTTTAAGACAGTCATATTTACACTTTATTTAGTAAGGACAGTATTTCTATATACAGTAGCTGTGTTTAAGTTTAAGACTGGCATGTTTATAAAATAGTTGTGTGTAGGCCTATTTGTTTAAGACATTCAATGGTAATTATCCGGACTCTCTACCCCACGCTCTCTCTCAGCCAACTTGCCAAATGCTAGTTTAAAAAAAAAAATACTTTAGTAGTCTAGAAGTAACGACAAACAACTACAAACTCGTTGACAATGCGAAAATAAACACTAAAATTTACACAGCACACTGAAAGTAATTTACAGATAAATTACAAAACGATTCAATGTACGACCAAAAAAAACTGCAACTGTCTAAAATATAAAGGATACACTTTTTCGAAATCTTTGTCATTCTGTAAAAATTCTTCAATAAATAATTCTACTTCCACTTCTGCTATACAAACAAGCACCAGTGCTTAAAAGTGCAGTGCGATGGTGCTAGGGTTGAAAATAAAATGGCAGAATATAGTAATCGGTTAAAATATTATACAGAAAAGAACTTCAACATCATAATTCATTACTAGAATTTTCCCCTGAAATTGCACAACCTATATAAAACTAATTTTAAAAGTTGTCTATAAGCGTTCTGTTTGTACAAAGCAAGCTTGCGCGTACTGTTTGAAATATTTTTAAAATGAAACATTATTTCACCAGAAGGTTTGGTTTCCTCCCTGCGAACGTTCCTGCCGCCTCAGACAAGCAAGCGACAAGTCAATATTGTTACATCAAACGGATTGCCGCCCCTTGCAATCCACAAAACAGGCTTAACGCAAACATCACTAAGGCAATGCTCCGTGTCACCCCCCACCCCCCCCCCCCACCCCACCCCAACAATGTTGAGAACAAGAATGTTGACATTGATACTTCAGTTTACTTTCTTTTCTTTTTTTGGTTTTGATTTGTTTTGCTTATGTTGTGACAAATAAAAATTATGCTTAGCAAATATTATTGAAAGTAATGAAAGTTAGTTCTAAGTTAATAGAGGTTTTTTTTGTTTCCGGTTATAGTCCTACTTATAAAACACTTCTTTCTCATGTTGTCACGATTGAAGAGTGGTAAAAGAAATTTATTATATCATACTATCAATAAAATTGAACACCTCGTGGATACCTTTTAAACGATATGCCGTTTTTTTTGGGTTGGGGTTTATAATTTTTTGAGGGGGTGGGGAAGAGTTGGGGGTTATGAAACTCTAATATTCCCTGCCTGGACTACCTGCTGTATTTTTATATAAAGACTATTCACACACACACACACACGCACGCACACGCACACACTCATTCCCGTCTCCCCCTTCATTGTCGCCCTCCCTCACACTCTCTGTCGCAGTACCTCTCAAACTCCCCACTCACTGTCCTTCAACTGTCTCCCTTTGCCACACTCCTTCACTTTTTCCTTCCCTCACCCTCTCATTCACTATCTGTGTTTCATTCAGTCGTTTTTTTTCTCAGGGTGGGGGAGGGCGGATGGACTTGTAAAGTGTAGGCTTATATTTTCTATTAAGTCATATCCCCCTCCCGAAGAGATACCCGAAAGAAACTGTTTAGTGTATCACTCCACACCTACTCCCTACTCCCTCCTTCCCCCCCCCCCCCCCACTCACACATTGTCACAGTGAATTCAGCCATGTGTTAAAATACTTACGACCCTTACAAGACGTGTCCTTGATTTAAACTTTTATCAATCGACGCTATTTTAACGAATAACAATAATTTCTAGCCTCAACACACCAACTTTTTAATGTCAAGTCTGGTGTCTACTATCGTATCTACAAGTGAGAAGAGCTAAGTAAGGATGGCCGTACCATGTGAACACATACATACCTACTAGGACTGGGGTCTCCAAACTTTTCAGTCCGAGGGCCGCATTAACTATCAAATTTCAGTTCGGGGCCAGGTTCTTCCAGGCATGTCTTTGATTTTTCTGGACAAAAATCCTCAGCCATCACCAACAAACGTTTTTCCGTGGACAAAAAGATCTCCGCGGGCCGGATGAGAGGACATCGCGGGCCGTAGTTTGGAGACCACTGCTAGGACAAAACATTGTGAATGTGTCTGCACGCGGCAACAGTGGCGCCTTTTCGGAAAATTTTTAAACTCAAAGTTTTAAACGATGATATTTGTTAGAAACATTATTTTTGGTCGGCGCATCTATGTAAATCACAAGATTTATTTTCACGCAGCAATTAAGCATAATAGTAAGAGACTAGTAGCGTCTACGTGTACAACACGTATTAGCAGCTGTATCAAATTGTCATTCTAAAAATAACCATTACGCTGCATTGGAATGTTTAAAAAACCTGTACGGGGAGTACCACTTGGCCAGAGTTTCTTTCAGGCATCTCTTCAGGGGGTACGCCCCAACCCCCCCCCCCCCCACCCCCCGAAGAAAGTCTACCGCCCCCCCCCCCCCCCTGAACGACATGGAATTTATATAGTAAAAATATACTTTTACTAGTGTCCGCCCCCTGAAATTGTTGACCGCCCCCCCCCCGAAAATATCAAGTGCCCCCCCCCTTCCCTCCAGGAAAAAAAAAGTCTGGAAGAAACACTACACTTGGCAAGTGGGGTGTTAAGTTTAAAGCAACTGTATAATGTATTTGTTTATGAATAATTGAATTTAAAAATGTTATACAAAAACTTCACACATAATTACTTTATATATTCAGTTTGAATCGTGTAATTTATTTTTTTGAAATTACAATACAGACACAAATACTACTGATGTGGCAACTCTATTTAAACGTACTTATGGGCGAACTGCCTAGCGGCGGGGAAACTTTGACAAGGTCAACAACGTCATTACGATGAAGTAGTAGTATTATGACAGTTTGGGCGATAGTGATTACGATTACAAATTAAATGAAACAGTATCAACTTTATATTAATTATTAATTGAGTTTACTAGATCTAGATCTACAATAAATTTGAATAATGTTATATTTAACTCAACTTAAGCTGACACTGATCGCACAATTAATTATCCGCTCAGCTTAGTGGCGTAAACGGATTAGGGGGTTACAACCCCCTCCCCACACCCTTTGACCCCTCTGTAAAAAAAATATCTATTTCTGAATCACTATACATGTGTAATTGAATATGTATGTTTAAAACAGTCATCTTAAAACTCTGGGTTGGATAATTGACCTAAAGTTGATAGACACATTGTCATTGGAGAAAGACATAAATACCACGTTTGAAACAAATCAGTCAAGTAAAACTGAATACAAATATATTGCAAGATCCCATTTAGACCGTCCTAAAGAATAAGATCTAACAGCAATTTAAGTTCAATAAACGCTTTTAAAAATACAATTATAAAAAAAGTTGTAATGATACAATTTTAAAATTTGCTTTCTTTAATTAAAAGAATATATCAGTCAGATAGTGTGTGAAATTAAATACAATCAAAAGTTACTTTAAAATTTGAAAAAACATTTTAAACCATGAATAAATTGAGGTGATAACATTTTATTGTAGCAGGCTCAACATTACAAAATAAATGTTTGATTAAATAGAATTTTAAAATTTTTAACAGAGTGACAACAGCCACATCATGCTGCAATTCTAAAAAACTTTCTTTTGGAAAAAAATGAATGCAACTAAAAAATAAATGAGGAATTTATAACCATTCAACTTATATAACAACATATATTTCATCAATATTTCTTGCATAAATAACTACATTTTAAATGCAATGTTCAAATACAAAACAGATCCTTAATTTAATTTATTTTATTTTTTAAATAATAAACAACAATATCTCATTCTTTATTTCGAAGAATATTAATGGCTGATGTATTTTTTTTTTCTAAGTCTAAATATTATTTGATGTATAAATATATTGGTGTTGTTTATTTATTACATCAAATTCACACCAGAAATATGGACTGTTACTTACACAACAAACGGTAAACAACAAAAAATAAACCACCCAGAACTGATTCAACAGAAAGAATATTATTGGAGAAAGAAATACTATTTTACAGGAATTTTAAATCCCGATTTATATTACAGGAAGTTGTATTAAAATTAAGATTTTTCTTTACCAAAAGAAAATACTTTTATTCCCTCCTTAAGCATACAAAAATACTTTTATAGAAGAAAAAATACTTTCATTCCTACAGTCAGCAAATCACATTCCAATCACTTTTATACAGAAAAAAATGTTTTCATTTACATTTACATAACACAAAAACACATTTTCTTATCACAGCAAGCTGACTAATTAAAACTTACTTTCCTAGCTAAACAAATGCAATCACTGAAATGCATCAAAATTATATCATCAACTATTTATACAAAGTGATCTGTTCACCATGAGAAATGGAAATGT